GTGTTCGACGCTTATCCGTCCATTGCTCGAAAGCAAATGACGAAGAAAACGATTTGGCAAGCGTTTTTGCTATCGCTGCTTTTCTCCTTCCTTCATTTCATTGGTGAAATGGTGAGCGAACAACCGAGCATTGAGCTCGCTCATGTGAGCATGCGCAACGTGTCGTTTGTTCGATTTGCACTCAATCGTTGTGTCCGTGTTTGGGATTTTTCGTTACATGTCTGAATTTTGATTTTTTTTTTAATGTGACCCCAAGTATAGAAATTAAAGACGTAGTCCTACGTCAAAACAAGTTGTATTATACGCCCTACGTAAATTCGGTTGGACATCATTTCCTCTTCCATCATATGAAGCAATGCAGCTTATAAACATTAGACTGATGCAAAATTTGTCTTTTTCGCTCCACAGTGCTTAAATGGTTTAAAAACGGATCTTGATTAGCCTCCCAAAGTTACAACTCATTTGGTTAGAAACAAACTTCGCACAAGCCATTTGAAGTTTACATGTAAATTACTATGGGAAATCTCAACTTTTTGTTCATTGCCTTCTAGTCTTTTTCCATATTGAGCTGCGAAACAGTTCAACACCCATTCTTAAAGAAAATTTTCACAGCTACAACTTTGCTGAAGACCGTTTCTATGTAAAACGAGACAAAAAAAAGTTATTAATTATTTAAGAGATTGGTAAACTTATGACATGATCAAGCAGCTGCTCTGTAGGCAACACTGTATTTTGCAGTGTGACATAGTAGCCATGATTTTTGTGTCCTATTCAACGCCCCAGAAACACCAATGTTGCCTGCTGAGCCGTTGATTGAGCATGATCATAAGACATCAGCGCATTGAACCATTGATAACTTTCGATCCTTGCATTTAATCAAAAAGTGGTCGTCAGCAAAGTTGTAGCTGGAAAAATTTCCTACAAGTACAATTGAAAGTTTTTGAAGTAAACCGAAATTGTGAATTATTAGATAGACATGAACAAAAATCTTGGGTTTTACCATAGTAATCCCCATACGAACTTCAAATGGTTTGTGCCATCTCAGTTTCTCACCAAATGGGGTCAAATTTTGAGAGGTTAGTCAGGATCCGATTTGGAATCGTTTAAGTATTGTGGAGCGAAAATTTCAAATTTTGCATCACTCTAATAAACATACAAACATTAAAAGAGCGTCGTTATCAAAATTAAATTTCTAAGCATCTACTCGGCACCTCCGAAAACAAAATTTATTTGCCATAAACCATCATCACACAAATTATGCAAAATAATATAATATAGTATGGCATGATGTCTCGGCATAAAGGGCGAACACGAAATTATTGCGACACATTCAACAGGGCATAACTTTTTTACCATTGGGTAAAAATCAACCAAATTTTGCACACTTTCTCATTGATGTGTATTGTGTACATGCTGTCAAACTCGAAGTCGTGTTTTTCGATTCAACGAAAATGGAGGTGAACCAACGCGAGTTGAGAGAACAAATTCTTTCCAAACACCTGGAATTTCCTGACCTGTCGCACCGGCAGTTGGGAAAAATGTTGAACATTCACCATTCAACCGTCTCCAGAGTGTTGAAGCAGTTCCAGGAGCGGTTGACGTTGGACCACGGCAAAGGAGCTGGAAGAAAACCGGGACCGGAGAGCAAAAAGACGGAGGGAAAGGTGAAGCGGATGATTAAAGCAAATCCCAACGTCTCCAGCCGTGATTTGGCTAAAAAGATCGGCATGTCCCAGAGCTACGTCTAGAATGCAAAGAAGAGAGCTGGACTACATACATACAAGGTACAGAACTTCCCAAACCGCGACGAAACGTATATAAAAGCTGATTTTAAGCAAATTCCGGGGTTGGAGATTTTTACCGGCAAGAGCAAGTTCGATGTGGACGACAAATTTAAGAAGAAGAAAATGTCGAAGTTCGCCTCCAAATATCTCATTTGGCAGGCCATCTGCTCTTGCGGACTGAGGAGTGAGCCTTTCGTGACAAAGGGCACAGTAAATGGCGAGATCTACAAATCTGAGTGCCTCGAGAAGCGCCTTTTGCCGTTCTTGCAGCAGCACGACAAAGCTCCGCTATTTTGGCCAGATTTGGCATCATGCCACTATTCTAAAAGTGTCCTGGAGTGGTATGAGGCCAATTCTGTCCATTTTGTTCCAAAGGACATGAATCCGCCAAACTGTCCGGAGCTGCGCCCGGTGGAGCAGTACTGGGCAATAATGAAGCGGGAACTTCGGAAGAGCAAGAAGACAGTCAAAGACGAGAAGGACATGTTAAGAAAATGGAAAAAAAAACTGAGAAACTGGTACCGGATGACACTGTAAAGACTTTGATGGAGGGCATCAAGCGAAAATGCGTTCAATTTTACACTCAAGGCTCCATCGATTAACTTTTCTTTTGATTTTTGAAGTAAATATATGTATAAAACTACCCTAAAATTTTGGTTTGATTCTAAACATTATAAGAAAATTGGCATGACATTTTCGGTGTCGCAATAATTTCGTGTTCGCCCTTTATACTAAAAAACATTTTAACTCATAATTTTGGCTCATAAGAAGAAAAATACGAAATAGATACTGCTTAATTTTTATTTAAATCTTTATTTCTCATACTATTAAGACAAAATTGTACTTAATTTTTTTTTCATTTTGTATTGTACTAGTCTACGTCGTCCGACGAAATGAATAAACCTAATATCATTGATAGATTTCGGATAGATTAAACATCGACCTATCTCTATAATAAAGTAATTAAAAAAAACCTTCATTAACTTTCTCTGTGGATCGCCACGGCATACTTGAAAAAATGGTCATGAAACAGCAAAACGTAACCAAAAATTGAGGTACTTTATTGAAAAAATTCATAAGGCATCCCCTTGGAGGTCCCCCTATGAAATGTATATGTAACAGTAGGATATAATTTACTGAACGAAATAACGTTGAGATTAGTTGCTAATACCTGATAACCTGCAAGATACACTCCCCTATAGTGTTAAAACATTTAAATACGGATGTAAATCTTTTAAACGAAGAGATAGCGATCTACTTTCCCTTACAGTTTTAGAGTACTTAGGGGCTGTTCATAAACTACGTAGACAGTTTAGGGGGGGGGGGTTGACAAGTATCCACGGCCCATACAAATTTTAAAATTTTTGTATGGACAATTGTCTACGGAGGGGGGGGGGGTCAAGAATCCCAAAAAACTGTCTACGTAGTTTATGAACAGCCCCTTACCAGCTTTGTAAATATTTAAAAAAAACATTGGGAAAGCATAACAAAAAAGTTATGGTAAAAAAAAACGCTTTTTAAGAGGGTATTACCGTTTGTTGTCCATTTTCACTCTATAACTTCGTCCACTTTAGAGATAGAAAATTGTCGTCTACGACAAAGTTTCTTAACATGACTTTATCTACTTTGTTTCCATACATGTTCATCAATTTTAACAATACATACATAGAAAAGTGTATAGCCCTCTTAAGCAAACATTTTTTGCCACTCAAAAATGAAACATTCCAGAAGACATCAAAATGCTACACTCAATAGTTTCGTCGCAAATGGCCATATTCCACTTTTTCGTCCCACTGTACGGCCGTGTTAAGATATTTCCGGATATTTTCGACACAAATTTCGCTGGAAGAAGCAACAATATACCATTTAATACGAAAAACACGACAGGAAACGTTTCTGTAGCCGGGTTATTTACGGAAAAGAGAATAGATTAAGAGAATCGATCACTGTACATTGGTCTAATTTTAATTCTAATTAAATTTCATGCTGGGATGAAATTCATAATGATGAATAAAATTAGACTAGAATGATGCCATTGCACCAACAATCAATACGAAACTAACGATTTTAAATCGGCTCACTACTTGACTAGCCTATTGGTCCCAAGCAAATCGATTAACGTATCCCATTCTAGTCGAAATTCTAGTACTTCACTATGTTTGTTTTGATTCGCTATGAAAGTTTGACAGATAAAATGAGGGGTTAGTGGATTTTCCTATGTTTCGAGGGGTGAATCGATTAGCTTGGGACCGAAGATAGTACCAGAGCTGAGCCAAAAAGTTGAGCACGTTTCTTCGGGACCTACTAGTCCTACAGTTACCTCTATCATTGCACGTAGAGGAGCGCTGGTCTAATTAAAAAGTGACGCAATAATTGCATTTTATGGGGTATACTCGACAAGCAGTCAAGTTGTGACCAGGTTGTGTGATTATTATTGTTTCCACTGTGTCAACAGTTCCTAGTTACATCTAATCTAAATTACTGCTCGCTGAATTAGGTGTATCACAAAGCAATATTTATCACACAGCTAATCAACACCAAGCACCGAAAGTCCCAAAACAACTGCAAAGATTTGCATTACTCATCGCTTAGGACTTCAGCTGTGTGTGACTAAATCGCGCACAATTTTGGCTACTTGCCACCAGATTAGTAGTAGGCAGCTACTTCTGTTCCACAGCATCATCGGCTCAGGTCATCGTGTCACCCGGTGACACGATCTTCGATCCCGTTCTGTATATATATTTTCGGTATCTGTTGTCGTCGATCGACCTATATTCCGCAACTTCCGCGTTCGTTTCTCAGGCTCTCGTAGGAGCAGGCATTGTCACGTACATTCACACTGACACTGCTTTGCCCTGAAGCGTGTGCCGCTGCCTGGCGCGTGTTGTCGTGTGTTTGTTTCTCCTCCGACGACGACCATCCGCGATTCGCAGTTTCGACGGTGGTGGATGGATGGCCGTCCTTCACGCATTCGAAAACTGTGCGCCACTACGCTACCGTGGGGTCGGTTGGTTGCTTATTTGTTGTTTATGTTTTATTTTATTTTTCGCTCAAAATTTTCTGTTTCCTTGGTGCCAACAATATAAATACAGTGTCGTTTCCTCGAATTTCCCTCAACCTCAACCTCAACGAGGTATTTATTTGATGGGGTAGAGCAGTAGTTGATGGTAATAACTCATGAGTCTTCTTTGTCTTTTTTCAATTATCTTTTTGCAGGACGCAAGCTGTACGGAAGACGAAGAAAATGCTAAAGAAAACAAAAGGTGAGTGAGGTTTACCTTATAGAGAAGAGTATGATTTTATTAATTGGTGTTCAATACAGAAAGGATACAAGGTTTTCCATTTATAATCAAATTATGATAACCTGATATTTCTATTTTTGCCGTACACTTATGCCTTGTTCAGACTACAGAGTTGCAACATGGTAAAATTCAAATTATCAGCAAGAAAAACGTCATCAAGATAGCATTGAAACATGTTACAACTCCATAGTCTGAATATATCATATATCAGAGTGTTCCATTTGATGAATTTTCACTTAAATTTGAAACTTCGAAAATAAATTAAAATTTCCTAAAATCGCTCTTTTGTTGATCGGCCGATTTTTGAGAAGGTGGTTGTCAAAATTGATTCCTTTTCTGTCAAAAATAAGTCTGAAATTTTCCATCAAATGTACAACATTCACAGTGCTAATAAATCACGTACACCTAAGTGTTTCACAGTGTTACAGTAGTGGTCCGATTTTGTCAGCCCCCTTTTTTAAAATCTTTTCCAATGCTCTACGGAACCCATGCGCTTTTTCACCCTTCATGCATCTTTAAGATGAATGAGATAGATTTTCAATTACGGTCATGTGAAATTTTTGAGAGATAAAAGTCTTATCCGCGTAAGGTATAAGATTACTCAACAAACAAATGTTCGATCCTTAGATCTTAAAGGGCCACCCACATTTGATCCGGACTAACGCGTTGCGGTAAAGTGACATCTAAATCTATTGTCTAACTGTCAAATTTACGTCAACGCAACGTAAACGGATCTAATGTGGATGGTCCTTAAGGATCAAGTGTCATTGGATTTGAATCTGCTTGACGCTAAAATTTCAGTGTCTCACTAAAAATCACTATGACTCGCAATTTTTTTCCTTGGTGCACTTCATGAAGCGTTGCAGAGAGTGCCGAAACGATTTGAGAACAACCAATTTCATTTTGTTCATATCTGAAACATATCGAACCTTATTGAGAGGTACCATTTGTTTTTCGTCTGGTTCCTGATATAGAGCATTTCCAGGTTAAATATAGCAAACAAACTTGAATTTCAGTCTCGACCTTCTCCGATTCACATGAAATTTTGCATAATTGATTTTGATGGACAATCATTAAGATTTTTGCTAAAATTCGGCCATTTTCATTCAATTCGCAAAAAAATTCGAAATAGCATATTTGAAGGTTTTCATTAAATCATAACTCGAAAACACTACTTTCAATCGAAATGACGTCTGAGACAAAGTTGTAGGAAAAATAATTCCTTTTTCTGAAAAATTCACACAGTAAAAAAATTAGAGAAATTTGGAGTAAACATTAATAAACAAATATATAACACATTAACAACTAAACATTACCGTCTTCAATATAGTCGGGATTGAATGCGCATGTTTAAATATCGTTGTTCCAGTTGCCTTTCATATATATTTGAGTATCATCTAGTTATGATTATTATCAATAACACTTACATTTTGATGAAGATGGTGCTGCATATTTTATGATCCAAACATCACAGAAGTCAATTTTGAAGCGTAGACCAGGTCTATTAACAATACACTCTTTCCGAGAAAGGGCTCTACGGGGCTAGTTCAAATAATTTCAAGAAAATTGCAGAAACCTTAAAGAAGTACCGGAAACTTTAGCAAAGCTCCGAGAGAACTTCTGGAACGCTATAAAAATTATATGAACATCCGGAAAATGTGAAAGAGTATTCTAAGGGTGTGGACATTTTAAGAATTTCACAAAGTCGAGAAAATTTAGCTAGGTTGATTAGCGACCATCAATGAAGTTCCAATAATTTAAAAATAAATACAAGAACTTTTAGCAAGCACCTTCAAGAAATTCCTGAGAACTTCTACGACATGTAGATATGTTTAGATAGTTTCATGATATTCAGCGAAGTTCTTCGAGGACGAGATGACTTAAGAACAATCCCATTAACTTAAGGAAATTTACAGTGACTTACAAGGAGTTCCGTTAGCGGCGCCGGTGGTGTAGTGGTAAGCGTGATTGTCTCTCAATCCCAGTCTGCGCCGTCGGGGTTTTCTGGGGCATAAAATCTCTGATCACGCCTTCCTTCGGGAAGTAAAGTCGTTGGTCCCCGGTCTATGAGTTGATGGGTCGATAGGTAGGGTCCAGTACGGAAAACAAGATCGACGGAAAACAAGTTTTGTGAAATTATGGGATATTCCGAGAATTCTATGATTGATCGGTAAACTTCAAGGAATGTGTGTCAGGGAATTATGAATATATATCAGAACAATTTCCGGAACATTAAACAAATTGAGAGAAGAGGTAAGCATAAAAATTTCAGGGATGTCCAGATAAGTTCAAGGAAAATTATTGATTTAAAGTAAAGTTCCGTGAGCGCTTATAAAGTTTATAAAACAAAGGAAATCGATTTAATTTCAGTAAAATTGTAGGTTCTTATAAAAAATACTGATAAATTCAGGGCAGTCTACCTACTGTCTCCGAAACCTTACAAAAACCTATAGTGAAAGATTACGAACTGATTTTATGGCAACGACTTTTAGCGCTAAACAACGGACAAGAATTGGAACATGGGATGTACTGACGCTAGCCCAACAGGGTAAACTAGCACAACTCGCCAGTGAGGCCCGCCGTATGAAGCTAGAAATCCTGGGACTTAGTGAAGCTGCCTTCGGGACAGGTAATTTTATATTCTGGTATGCGAGGTGAAAACGCTCCGCGACATCGTGGAGTTGGCTTTTTGCTTAGCGCCCAAGCACAGGCTGCGCTCATCAAGTGGGAACCTATCAATGTGAGAATAATCGTTGCCAGATTCAGAACACGGGTCCGAAACCTTACCATAATCCAATGTTATGCGCCAACCGATGCTGCCGAATTGCAGGACAAAGAGAACTTTTACAGTCAACTGAATGCTGTTGTGGATAAGACTCCAAGAGGTGATATCCGACAACTCGGACTATGAGTGCATTATGGGACGCCATGGTCTCGGAGATATGAGCGAGAACGGCGAGCTGCTTGCAGAGTTTTGTTGCAACAACGACATAGTGATAAGGGGTTCGCTCTTCCCCCATCGCCCAGTACATAAAGTCACATGGGTCTCCCGTGATGGATATACAGAGAACCAAATCGACCACATCTGCATCAGCCGAAAATGGAGGCGGAGCCTTCTTGATGTTCGGAATAAACGCAGCACTGACATCGCGTCTGACCATCATCTCCTGGTCGGTGAGATCCGCCTTCGCGCGGGTTCAACGGCGAGAGGAGAGACTCGGGTGGCGATTCAACACACGCTGACTGGAAGACCCAGCAGTGAAGAGATCGTTCGTCGAAGAACTCGAGGCTCGCGCAGCTAATATTCCGGAAGGTGGCAGCGTAGAAGAACAGTGGACGAGCATCAAGAATGCCTTTATTGAAACAAGCGAGAACAACCTGGGTGAGCTGCGTACTCAGAGGAAGGAGTGGATCACCGATGAAACCTGGAGGAAGATCGAGGAGCGAAGAGAAGCACGAACGAGGCCCGTCAACTGTATTCGGCTCTAGAGAGGGAAGTTAACCGTTCCTGTACACGGGGATAGCGAGCATGGGTGGACTCCCTGGCTGATGAAGGGGAGAAAACCGCAGCAACTGGCGATATATGCCTCCTCTATGATGTTTCACGACGCCTGAGCGGGGCAAGGATGAACCCAAGGATGCCTGTGAAAGACGCGACTGGATAGTTGCTCACCGATCCCACTGACCAGTTGAAACGTTGGTTTGAGCACTTTGAACAACTTCTCGAAGTTTCAACGGTCAACCAACCATCAACATCTCGGCATGATCCGCCAAGGGTGAGGCGCGTTACTCGCGTCAACACTGAAGCTCCATCATTGCAGGAAAAATAAGCAGCCAAGGGGGCGACCCCGGCGTAGTGGTTAGCATTCATACCTCTCACGCCAAAGTTACGAGTTCAAATCTCACCCCCGGACAAGTCACGAATGACCCAAAAACGTTAAAGTGACTATAATTAAAAAAAAAAAAAAGAAGCAGCTATCCGAAGTATGAAGTCCAACAAAGCCTCGGGGGTCGATCGCATATCAGCAGAGATGCTCAAAGCTGACCCCATGCTATCCTCACAAATGTTGCATCAACTATTCGTCAATATCTGGGACACCGCGACTTTTCCGGCTGACTGGATGCAGGGCGTCTCGGTAAAAGTCCCCAAGAAGGGGGATCCAACTGTATGCGACAACTGGCGAGGCATCATGTTACTATGTTACTGTGTATTGTTCTCAAAGTTTTGTGTAAAGTTATCCTCAATCGGATGCAGGACAAGATCGACGCGACTCTCCGACGACAGTAGGCAGGATTCCGTGCTGGAAGATCCTATCCATATTGTCACGCTCCGCATCATCTTGGAGCAGGTGAATCAGTTCCAAGAGTCCCTGTACTTGCTATTCATTGACTACGAAAAAGCTTTTGACCGACTAAACCACGCTGTGGGGCGCTCTGAGACGCAAGGGAGTCCCTGATAAGATCGTCAACCTCATCGAAGCGCAGTACGAGGCTTTCTCATGCAGAGTGTTGCACAACGGAGCTTTGTCTGACCCGATTAGGGTAATCGCGGGTGTGAGGCAAGGATGTATATTATCACTGCTACTTTTCCTCATCGTAATTGACGAGATCATGGTTCGAGCCGTTGACCGTGTACCGAACCGTGGGTTGCTGTGGCAGCCTATTACCATGGAGCATCTCAACGACTTCGATTTGGCTGATGATGTTGCGTTATTAGCACAACGGCGCTCTGACATGCAGAGTAAGCTCGACGGCCTTGTGGAACGCTCCTCTGAAGCAGGTCTAACCATCAACGTCAACAATCGTTGGATGTCAACACGGAAAACTGTTCCAATTTCACGGTAGCTGGGCAGGCAGTCGGAAGCTTCCAATTTGTTGGCAGCCAGATAGCGTCGGACGGAGGCACCAAGAGGATGAAGGCGAGGGCTGCTTTTGCCAGTTTGCGAAATGTATGGAGAGCGAATCAGATCAGTTGACGCACCAAAATCCGAATATTTAACTCGAACGTGAAGTCTGTGCTGTTGTACGCCAGTGAAACAAGGTGTGTATCAGCGGAGAACACTCAGAAGCTGCAGGTGTTTATCAACCGATGCCTGTGGTACATAATTCGTGCCTGGTGGCCCAACAATTGGATCTCAAATTCCGAGCTTCATCGTTTGTGCCGATAGAGACAGAAATTCGTGAACGGAAGTGGAGGTAGTTCCGAGGACTACCGTTGGCATTAGAGAAATTACATACATTTTAAAAAAGTTTCGAGAACTTCAGCGAATTGTTGAAACTTTAGAGAAGAATTCATGATCGTTAGGAAAGTTGAAGAAACTTTGGGAAGTCCGAAGTGCTAGTTTTTCAAATCATAAAAGAACTTCAAGACAGTTTCACACTTTGGGAACTTTCAAGTGGTTCTGAGGTCCTCAGAATAGTCCATTCCACATTCAACGGAGATTTCTCATGATAATTCACTTGGAGTTCTCCTCAGCGTTAAACAAAAATTCATTTGGAACGCTTCTCTGAATTATTTTAAAAAATATATGAGCAGGATATACTTAGAATACTCTTCACAAATTATTTGTGGAAAAAGCTCATAATTTTTAAAACAGCAAAAGGGTTTATCTTCCATTTAATTCCACTTAATTAATTTTGGTATCCATGACAGATACGTATTTCGACTACAATGTGCAGTCTTCATCAGTGTCATTCCCACTAAAGAACTTATCAAAATCTAACCCCCTTAAGTACTCATCCCCTAGGTAAAAAAGTCAAGATCATAGGTATAAAAATGAAACTACAATGTGTTGAATCGGGGGTTAGATTTTGATAAGTTCTTTAGTGGGAATGACACTGATGAAGACTGCACATTGTAGTCGAAATACGTATCTGTCATGGATACCAAAATTAATTAAGTGGAATTAAATGGAAGATAAACCCTTTTGCTGTTTTATTTAGCATTCCGCTAACAACCCAATTTCATTACTTCATCATAATTTTTACTAAAAGTTACGATTTTGGTCAATTTTGAAGTGTCCAATGTGTCCATTTCAGAAAATTTAGCATTTTAATACGCTTTCAACTAAACATACTTTAACAATCTTTCGCTATTTGGTCTGAAACTGCTCTACTGTTTCTGCTGATCGTCGTGAAGAGATTCCATAGTGCACTGAATGTAAAGACTGTACTTGAAAAAAAAAGCAACAGATAAAAATGATCACCAAAAATTTATTTTAAGTCAGATATTTTTGAAACTCTCAGGAAATAAATAAACACATATTACCTATGTTTTTGCAGAGTAGGTTCATTCAACCTCCTCTCCTATGCTAAATGAACGCATCTTGGACTGAACGCTACCCATCAAATCCTGTGCAACATTTGCGCCATCTTTCTCACTCTGTCGTTTTTGAAGACCTTCCCTGTTTTCCGGAGCTTGCCCTTCATAATCGCCCAGAATTTTTCTATTGGGCGAAGTACTGACCAGTTTGGCGGATTTGCCTCCTTCGGCACAAAAAAAAAACATCGTTGGCTCCGTACCAATCACTACCACCTTCGTGGGACCGGAGGAAGGACAGCAGGCGCTTCTGGAGGCATTCTTCTTTGTATATTTGGCCGTTGATTGTGCCCGTCCTTATGTACGGTTTGCTGAATTTGCCTCACCCACAGATCGCCTGCCACACTAAGTGCTTCTTGGCAAATTTGTCGACCTTCTTATTTCGGAACGTCCCCGGAACATCCAGGTGGGACTTGCCCCAGTGTCACCGTATTCTGTTTATCTGGTCGATTAGGCGCCTTCCTTACCTTAAAGACATGAAGTCCGGCCCGCTCCATTGTCTGCTGGACGAAGCAGACGGAAGAATTGACCTTCTTGGCCACGTCCCGAATCGAAACGTTCGGATTGCGCTTGAAGTAATCACTCACCTTCCTTGCGTTCACGGAGTTGCTCGTCTTCGCTTTTCTTCCGCTGCCAGCTCGCCGCTTGGTCGTCTGGGTCTCCTTCCAAACTATTTCGCGATCCACCTGTGGGACTGGCCTGGATTTTCTACGACCGCTCCCATAATTTTTTGTCGAAGCACTTCTTGCTTGGAAGCCATCTCGATAACCACTTGACAGATTGTGACGAGATTTTGCACATGTAAACATTACACTCTAAACTAGTTTTACTCAAAATTTCATCAATTTTTCCCCATGCAATAAAAATGTTGCATTTTTTCGAGTACAATCTTTATGCTCGGGAATATTCCCCTTCTAATTAATTCAAAGCATTCTCGAGCCTAACTCGGTTCTCACATCGGTAATCGACTAGACTAGAGCATTGTGATTCTTTTTCTCAAAGCTACTGGAGATGTACAAAATTTATCCTGAGGCCATAAGGTTCCTGCAATTGCAACCTTACGAACACAGGATCAATTTTGCACATCTCCAGTAAGAGCGGTTCTAGCTTTGAACTGGAATAACCGAACACTGAACGCATATCTACTGCAAGATGGAGGAAAGATAAGATTTCGTTAACCTCTAGCTTTTCTTGTCGTAATCAAGCGATAAAAACAGAATCCCGATAAGGGACGGAAAAGAAAAGCACTCAAGTACTGCCGTGATGCCACCCAAAGATTGATGACCAATTTTATGTTTACTTTTCGGATATTTACCCACACTTGTACTGCTGGTAAATACTTGTTATGAAACGCGCTATTTTTAGCTCGAAGGAAAAACGGCAGAAAATTGGCGTCGTTTTCGTCGTCGCGCAGACTGATTTGACTGGGCCGGGGTCTGACCGACCTGTTGAAGAAGCGGGAAAAGCGCCGCGAGAGAGACCATCATGGATGGATGGATGGCGGACGGACAGCCGGCCATTGCGCCATTGACATTGAAACATCGCTCTTCGTTTACTTACTTTTTCGTGTCGTCTTTTCTTTAGGTTTATTTTGCTACACTCACCCGCCTAGCTTAGATAGAGAGAGGCAGAGAGAGAGAGAGCACCGCGTTATAAATTTCGCTAGAAGCAGCAAGTGTGAACTTCCTTGGCATCATACGACGACGCACATGGAAACACATTAGTGACTTAAACCTGATCTCAAAGAGACACGGGTCAGCCCATCAGCGTATATAATTTCTACATCAGAGACGAATGTCCTCGTAAAACTGGCTGAATGAAGACCAAAGCGTTGATGGTTTCTATTAAATTAAACTAAATTAAAATTCTCGATTTGAGGGTCGTTGATTGGTTGGTCCTTTTCCTTAGACACACACACTTACACACAGTTCGATAAAGAGGAACGACTTCCGGTGTCGAATTTTCTCATCAGTTTTTGGCGGTCAATGTTGCAATTTAAATAATGTAACGAATCATCTGAATGCTACCTGCGACGACGATTCCTCTTTGAAGGTCTCTACCGTTCTTATTCGAATACTGGACACCTTAACCCTTCAGCGTATTTAGACTTTCTCCCAATGATTTGCTGCCATATATTTTGGGTGGCAGTAACTTAGACCTTGCTAATAATTGATCAATGTTGTAAGTTTTTAAATTTATTTTCAAAGTTATCTAATTTAATCTTTTTTCTATACCCATCCAATTTCAGCTTGAGTGAAAGCTACCCTGCCGGCAACGGAACCGCCCTGATGCTAGGTTCGAACGAGCGTCTTCGCGCTTCCGGCGAGGACTCAACAACTGACCCGCTACAGCAGACTCCGACAATCCCCACCAGCACGTCTACTACAGCCCGCACTTCGAGTGGTGGGGCCACCCATCAGCAGCAGCAGCAGCAGCAAGATCCTGCCAGCAGCCTTCGCCTGCCGTCGCGGACCCGTTCCGATAGTGCGGACGAACGGGAATCGGTCGCCTCGACTGGTAGCACCGCATCTTCCGCTTCGTCCGCCGGTAGCGACATCCAACAGCACCTGCAGTCAATGTTCTACCTACTCCGGCCGGAGGAAACACTCAAAATGGCCGTCAAACTCGAATCGTTACGCGCTGGTCGCACCCGGTATCTGGTGGTCGTATCCCGTCCACGGGCCAAACGAATCCTCCGTCAGCTGCAGCAACAGCTGCAGCAGCAGCAGTTACAATCGCTGCTATCCTTGTCCTGTTCGATGGCGACATCGACCAGTTCGTCCTCATCGGTTTCGCCGGCACCGATCGCGATCCCGATCAGCAAACAAATCACTTCCGCCTCTCTGTACAAGGCCGCATCGCCTTCCACGAGCAGTTGCAGCAGTGTCCTCGTTGGCGTCGGTGTCGCCGGCGACGAAACATTTGTGACCAGCTTGGATAACTGTGTTCTCAGTGCTTCGCCGAAAAATGCTTCAGCTGCAGCTTCTTCAGTGAATAACAATAATGCTAGCAGCAGCAACAAATGTGTCGATAAATGTGATAGTTATAGACCTAGTAGTAATTGTGGTAGTAATTGTAATATTAGCAGTAGTAGTGTAGTTAGCGGCGGTAGACCGATGTCCGGTGCGAGCTGCAGAAGTGACGGTAGCATAAAAGTGTGCAGCACCGGTCCCAGTGGGTACATCAATGTGACCACTACGAGTGGCATTGGGGTGTGCAAACTGCTGGGGGGTAGTTCCTCGGCTAGCGTCACAAGTGGCAGTGGATCCAGCAGTACTGCCGGCAGTAGCAGCACCAGAAGCAGCGGTGGTCATCATCATCATCAACTGCATCATGGTTGCAACGAAATCGAAGAATCCTGTCTACTGGGGATCGATTGCAATGAGAAGACTACCGTGGGTCTGGTGTTGCGCGTGCTGGCCGACACGACCATTCGGCTGGACGGGGATGGGTGAGTGTGTGAAATGTTTTGAGTAAGATCGCGGTGGATGTTTAACGGAGGTGTTTTTGTTTTGCAGCGGATTCAGTGTCAGCTCGTGTGGACAGCAGCACATCTTCAAGCCAGTCTCCGTTCAAGCGATGTGGTGAGTAGTTTTAATATTTTCCACGTATTAATAGGCGTCACTTTCTCCCTTGGTTGTGTAGGGGAAAAAAAAAGAACTATAATATATGCAGTTCTTCCAGTTAGTGGCCAGACGAAGTAGTGAAAGCGAAACTTGTACGTGGCTATAAATATAGACAAGGCCATGGATCTATTTTTGTTTCGACATGAGCTTGTTTTTGCTCTTAAGAAAAATAACCACTCCAACCGATGTGAGATGTGGTGAATATGTTCTGCTGTGTTTGATTTCCTCGTGAAAGGTGGAACATACTGCGTAGTTATCCAAAATGAAATGGACCGTTTTGCATAGACAGAGGAATTGTAGAGTTCCTGGAAAGGTTTTCAAAATGAAAGTTCAGATGGATTGTTTAGGAAAAATGGATGATCCCTGATCTGTGAAAATGGATTAGATGCGTTTTTGATACAGGTGATGTGGACTCAAGTCCCTAATCATATCATTGTTTAATCGTTTATATAAAAGAAAACTAATATTTACGAGAAAAGAAGCCATCCTACAGTAAAGAGGCGAACCAGTGCAAGGCTGACAGTCACTCTAATGAAGCAAACAAAAAATCCTACAGTACTGGCAATAATAAAGTAATCACCGTTTAGTTTTTGCCTCTCCCAAAACTGTATCTGCAACAAATTTCTGGAATTTTGTCTGCTGGTGAATCAACTATTCATGGTACTGTGGACTGCCAACACTGGACAACAGCGCGCACCTGGATACACCCCTGCATCAAAAGCGACCATGTTGATTTTAGTTAGTAAGTTTGGGACAAGGGAGAAATAAACACGTTGTAAAGTCACAAACGTTTTCGATTTATTCTATCGCGGAGTTCTCCTTCCGGTCCCCACATTGGTGACTCCGACGTGATATCGCGACGCGGAAAACAACGAAAACCGAAAGCCGATCGCTATCGTCGCAGATTCGAAAACTGACGGAGGAAAACGCTGCTGTTACCCCAGCGGTTGCAGTCAAACTTCCAGATTTCTGGAAGAATGATCCCGTGATGTGGTTCGCGCAGGCCGAAGCACAGTTTGCTCTGGCTAACGTGGTATAGGATCACACCAAGTTCTATAATATCGTCGTGAAAATGGACCAGTAGCGGACTTGGTCACGACCCCGCCGGAGGAAAACAAATACGAAACCATCAAGCAAAGTTTGATTTCCCGATTCCGTGTCAGCGCAAGGAAGATTGGAGCGACTTTTGGGCGCTTGCGACCTCGGAGACATGCGTCCTACACATCCCAAAAATTGCAGGAACTTGCTGCGGGCCTGAATGTTAAGGATGATTTGCTTAAAATGCTGTTCCTCTAGCGGATGCCACCGAGTGTCAAAGCCGTTCTCGCTATCAGTTATGGTACCATCGGGAAACTCGCCGAGATGGCAGACAAAATGCTTCAGTCTCCATCGTCACACGTCGCCGCAGGCTCCACCAGCTCCTCCGGAACAGATGCCGTCGCCGAGCTTGCGGCATTGACAGTAGACATACGTAACCTCAAATCGTCGAGAGGTCGATCCACATCGAGATCAAGCCGAGGGACAGCCCTTTAAGTACAATCCAAAAAACTAGAATCTCGTTCGCTCGAAACGGCGGGAGTGGACGCAGCCCCGGAAAGCCGCCCTATTCTGTTTTACGATCGTTCATCCAACATGGGATTTCTTATCGGATGTATCGATAATTCCAGCAACAAACAAGGACAGGAGCAAAGGTTCGTTTTACACGCAGCGAATGGATCATGAATTAAAGTTTACGGTAAGCGATACGTCACAACAGATTTAGGACTACGTCGGCGCTTCACTTGGCCTTTCCTCGTGGCAGATGTGGGAGTTGCTATTATCGGTGCTGACTTTCTCGCAACGTTCGGCATATTGGTACACCTGAAACACTGGTGCCTTCATGGATGGTCTAACTAAGCTTTCGTCGATTGGAGGTTTGACTGATGCATCCGTTCACAGCGTTACAGTAGCGTTGCTGCAGATCATCCGTTCCGAGAACTTTTGTCAGAATTTAAGGAAGTCACCATACTGACAATGATAAAAAAAAGAAGTGCAACACGACGTTACTCATCACATACAGACGAAAGGGCCACCGGTAGCAAGTGTCGCCGAATGGCTCCAGCAGTTGTTGGTCGAGCCCAGTGCCTGTCCCAGATCGATATCCCGTACCTCATATTCACGACTTGCTTAACGCCTTCCAGGGAAAAAATATATTCACAACCCTGGATTTAGAAAGAGCATATCATCAAATTCCTGTGGAGGAGGACGATATTCCTAAGACTGCAGTAATAACCCCGTTCGGCCTCTATCAGTTTACTTGAATGCAGTTTGGGCTATGCAATGCTAGCAAAACATTCCAGAGGTTCATGCACAGGGTTTTCAGCGATATGGATTTTGTGACGGTCTTTGTGGACGACGCGTCACACACACCCGAAAAGCATTATAAACGATTAAAATCCAACGGTCTTGTTATAAACGTGGCCAAAAGCTGTTTCGCGGAGAGTAGTGTCAACTTTCTTGGATACGTGATTGTTGGTACGGCCAAATAAAAAGGCGCGGCACTGTTATTGAACAGCGTTTATTTCCTTTTAGGATCGCTTCAAACTAGAAATTTAAGTTAGGGTTAATTTAGCAATGTAGGTTTAGATTTATAGGTTACCACTTACAAATCAGTGGCCCTTCCTTCACAGGCCTTTTCACTGGCTGTCCAACTTAGCTTTAGTCCTAGTTTTAGTGTTAGTCTAGGTAGAAATCAGTATAATTAGGTTCAAATTCACACTGTAGATTTAGGATTATTTACCGTACGCAACAATAGGAAACTAGATTAGGAAACGAACTATTTAGGCACTAGTTTAAGAAAAATACGTTTCACCCGCGTGATTCTTCGTCTGCTTGACTCAACGGATGACGTCCTTTTTTAGGTGACGTTTATGCTGTCGATCCCGTCGCACAAAGACTGGCGGTCTGCTAGATACAGTTGATTGGACCGGTTGCCAGTTCGCCGGGCGGTTGAGCAAGTGCCCCTGTGGTGAACAAGGATGGAATCCTCCCCTTGCCGGATAGAGTAAAGGAAATTACAGACTTTCCAATCCCTTCCACCGTGAAAGAATTGAGACGATTCCTTGCATTACTGAACTGTTACAAGAGGTTTGTCGCGCACGCGTCTGATCTACAGGCTGATCTCCGAAACCTAATTCCTGGAAATAAAAAGAACGATTGTCGGAAAATAGACCGATAATGCCAGAAAAGCGTTCGATCAATGCAAAATCTCTCTAGCGAAAACCGCACTTTTGCATTACCCCGATTCCTCGAAACGGTTGAGTTTACTTATCGATGCATCGAATACTGCAGCAGGCGCTGTGCTACAGCAGTTCAACGGCAGCAACTGAGTTCCACTGGGCTTCTATTCGGAAAAGTTCTCGCCGGCTCAGGTGAAATATTCAACGTTTGGCTGACAGCGATGAAGATGTCGGTGCAATACTTTAGTCATATGCTGGAAGGAAGGAGATTCGTTATTTACACCGATCACATGCCGTTAATACACGCTTTGGCTTCAAGTCCAAGCAGTCGTCTTCCAAACGAGGAGCGGTGCTTGCGGTTCATTTCGGAATTTTCGAAAGATATTCGTCATATCAGCGGACAGGTCAACGTGGCAGCAGACGCCTTATCCAGAACAAACGATTTCTCTTCCCACACCGATTGACTACGACAAAATTGCTGCTGATCAAGTCGCTGACAACGAGTTGCAAGGCCTGCTGGATTCGTCTTCTGCGTTGAAACTGGAATTGCGTCAGGTGTCACAAAACAAAGTAAGACCATATGTTCCACCTCAGCATCGTGACGCGGTTCTTCAACATGTCCATGGTCTGGCTCATCCAGGAGTGCGTTCTACTCGACGACCGGTTAGCCGATCGGTTCGTATGGAAGAACATGAACAAGGACATTAAGTTACTCGTGCAGAACTGCCTACAATTCCAACGTTTCAAGATCCATCGCCACACAGTAGCTCCTCTTCAGAGTATTTCTCTACCAAACAGCCGTTTTCGACATGTTCATGTGGATATTGTAGGACCGTTGCCACCATCAAATGGCAACCGCTATCTACTAACCTCGACCGTTTTTCTCGATGGTCTGAACCCATACCACTTCAAGACATGACAGGAAGGCAATTCGAATCTGAGCTGTTTCGTGAATTGGCTAAAGCGATGGGTTCCAAACACATCCGAACAACGGCATACCACCCACAATTAAATGGTTTGGTGGAGCTGAAATAATGGTTGTTGATTCGAAGCACTGGTGTGATCAATTACCGATGATAATGCTGGGATTGCGTATGTCTTTCCGATCGGATTTTGATTGTTCAGTTGCGGAGTTGGTGTATGGTCAAACGTTGTGGATTCCCGGGGAGTTTCTAGAACGTTCAAGTCAGGATATCGATAGAACGGATTTCGCCAAGCAATTGCGAGACACGTTTACCAAGCTGAAACCAATTGATCCTGCTCACCATGCAAAACCAGCCGTGTTCGTGAACCCCGAGCTTAACAAGTGCAGCCACGTCTTTGTCAACCTATGGCAACCGCCAACTCAGAAGATTACCGCATACATCGAGCCTGCCGAGTTCAGCAATCGCAATAGCATGGTTCAACTTGTCCATTTGAACCCGATCCGACATGCTTTCGGTTATATACGATGTGACACATAGCAGATTGATGGTTGTAGAGCGGCCAACAGTAAACCCATGTTGATCAGCACTCAAATACTGCTTGCAATGGGACAGCAACGGTTCCATATAATTGCTCGATAGTTATCCACAGCTCGTTTCCTTCCTTTTTTGTGGATAGGATACAGCTAGATGGAAATATGCCACTGGAGAGAGACATGCGGAACAGGAGTTGAAGCGGAATTAACAAGCTAGCAATATGTCTCTTCAAAAATACAGATGGAACTCCGTTAGGTCCAGGATTGAAGGATGACTTGAG